CACACACACACACACACACACACACACACACACACACACACACACACACACACAGAAACACACACACACACACACACATACACACACACGCATGCACGCACGCTCGCGCGCACACACACACACACACACACACACACACACACACACACACACACACACACAGGATAGGAGAGATCATGAAGTTAGCCAATCGGACTGAAAGCGAAAAAAAGCTACAGCCGCTTCTTTTCTGTGAGATCGATCAGAATCGGTCAGCTTCCGTTCCTCTATTCATCAGTTCCCTTGTGATTCACGTGAAACACGGCATGAACAGGTTATTCTTTCACGAGTGCTCATTGCTGACGATCAAGATACCCATCCTGCTTTCACTGACAACAAGGCTGAGGGGCTAAGGCTACCAACACCCCTGCGGCAGGCCAGTCCAAACACAGCGAACATTCCACACGCCAGTAACCTGAAATCCAAACCTTCAATTTCCTACAGCGGCGTTCCGTGCCAGACCAACTGCCTTTGGGCTGTGGTCCCGTTGAGTTCCTGTGCCCGCGCGGTTTTCGAATATGATTTGATGTAAATATTTGTGGGCAAGAGAGGGAATCCGGGCATACTCTTAGTGAAAATTCGCAGCCAAAAGGCTGCGTCTATTGCCATTGTCTATTGTCGTTTTGTGAAGTTTCCGTTTCCGGTAATGTCGTCGGTCGGAATGAAGCTTTGGTAGGGTCTTTTTGGGCAGAATACGGGCTTTAGAAATTTACGTTGAAGGGTCTGGTCGCCCGCAAGTCTAAGACCAGTCGGTGATAAGCCTTAAGAGCGGGCGACCTGCAGCAGGCTGGGCAGGTCGTGCTTGCGCTGTTTGGCGGTCCGCGTCCAGTGTTTCCTCTTTGGGAGGAAGGGTGGACGAGATAGCAGGGCAGGAGGGTATGCGAGGGGGTTGTCCGTTCTTTTCGTTTTCGTCGTTTGGTTTTTGTTTTTCGTAGGGGAAGTGGCTGGGTTTGTGTTTTTTGCCCTCCTGGAGCGGTTACGGTTGGGCAAGACGGTGGTATTCGTCTCCTGTCGAGGGATTCGTTGTGTAGGCTGTACGGGTGCGGCTAAAGGTGTCCGGATGCATGGGCACGTGGAAACGTGTAGGGAATGTCAAGTGTCGAGGGCGGGGGGGGGCTGGTTGGGCCGGTTGTGCACGCGTGGCGAGGAGCGATGGGAATGGAGGGCAAACCGTCATTCATTCATTCATTCAGAAAGGGGGGCGTGGAGGGGGAGCTATCGGTGGGAGTGCA